TCCAGCATCATAGTCATGATGAGACAGATAGACAACCCACTTTACAAGTGATTTGTGTGACAGTGGTTAGCCCAATGGCTAAGATGCTGGTGGAGACACCCATATCCCACACCTAGCCCTAACTTCATCTTATTTTTTTATATGGACCCTGGAAAGCAGCAGGGATGGTTAACCTTAGTTGCACTCTATGCTCCTGGGTCTGATCTGGCTTTACCCTGGCTATTGTGAACCTGGAACCAATATATGGTGCCCACACAAACCTCCTCTTTTCATTGCTCAAATAAAAAGAAAAACAGAAAAAACTTGCATGTACTCCCGGGTCTAGACCACACAGCCATGGTGTGGCAAAGATGCACTGGCTCACTCCAAAACCCTTCTCCTGCCCCCAAGTACCTCCAGGCTGCCACCTGGAAGAGAAACACTGTAGCCGGATATGCACCATTTCTAAGGTGTCTGCAGTGAATCCAAGTGCAAGCTTCAAACAGACTCAGCATGGACACACGGACACACACATACACACCCCTTCGCCATAGACAGATCTTGGTCGTGAACCAATACACTTCTGTTGAAGGACGCAAAGGGAAACAATTTTAAACCATGGCATTAAGTAGCCCCGGACAGTGTGAACATAAATGGGCCAGGCATGGCTGCTGTTCTGCTAAGCAGCAACAAAAAGCAAGGGAGAGGGAGCAAGGTTCACCCAGTCTACCTAACACCCTAGGCATCTGGACAAGTAGCTGAGTCAATGACAACCATGATCAGACAAGCATTCAGATCAATCCATGCCCAGCTGAACGCTGAAGGGCAGATTCAGATGGTTTGGGCTGTTTGGGGAAATAAACCCTGGTACAGCTGTGTTCCAATAAAACTTTATTGATACATACAGAGGTCTGAACGTGTACCACGGGACACAGTGCTGAACCCTGCTGCTCAAGGCAAGCATTCCAATAAAGCAGAAACAACCTACAATCAGCAACATCCATCCTTTAAACACCTGCCACCGTCAGCAAAGAGTCATCTCTACACCAGTGTGTGCATCAGAGATGGAAGGGGCTTTCTGAGGGGTGAGAATGGAGACTGCCTATTCTCTGGATTCATTCAAATCAGAGATCCCAGTCACACAGGACCAGCACATCCTCTTTTGGAGCAAACACGTGGGCAGAGTTCTTCACGGGGATTGTTCCTGTGACAGGAAATTGGCAGCCAACTAACTGATGAGCCATGCATGTTTCCTGTTGCTCTGCCAGCTCCACTAAACCACTGGTCGTCCTGAACCCCCATGTGATACCAATTGCTACAGCTGCCCACCTGTCAATGATACCCACATCAAGGGATTCTGGGGACACCAGCTTTCAAGGACTGGTGTGAACTGCACTGGTCCCTGGCACAATTCTCCTACTCCCTTCAAGTGCAGTGCCCCAAGTTCAGTCATCAAAGATGAAAACAGAAATCTGAATGACAATGTCTTCAGAAACAGGGTGTTGGGAAATACATGTTGACTGTCTCCTGGGCACATCACCCAGGTTCTTCACAGTGGCAGGGAGCAGGGCAGCTACTCTCACCTGTGTCTGTAGACAATGCTGATTACCACCAAGCAGGGCTGCTCCTGGCATCTATTGGGCAGAGGCCCCAGGCATGCAGCTAAAACCAAATCACTCACAACCAAAGCTTACCCAACACCCTATCTCAATGCCAAATGTTCCAAGCACACGGATAGCCACACTCAATTCCAAAAATCTGGCCCCAAAGACCATGCTGGCCAGCATGTCAGGCTGATTAGACCCGAGAGAAAATTAGAGCGAGACAGACTTACTGATGTGGCCTATTAGACTGTTCTTTGGTCAGGGGGAGAGAAAACAAATCATCACTTTGCCAAGAGTTACCAGTAAAAGGAAGAATTTGGCATAATTTCTGAAGTTTGAGATGCAAAGCCCTTGGATGGCAAGCATATGAGATTTTTGGAACCCAACAGTGAACTCTGGGTGCTTCCCCCTCCTCACCCCCACCGATGGTTTACTTAAATGGTTCTGGAAATGTTACATGAATTTTAAAGCCAGGGAACAATCCTGCTGTACACACTCTTAAAACCACTTGGTTGACTTCCAACCTGGGCTCTCTCAAAATAGAGTCTTATTTTTTATATCCATCAGCACCAAAGAGGTAGGCAGCATTTTTATGGAGACATATTAAAAGCCAATGCCTCCAGACACTGCCACATCTTGGAGGAGTAAACAGACTGCAGGTGGATTGTGTGATCATTCACAAAGCAAGTGCCGAGAAAGCATTTTCACATTGTTTTGTAGAACAATCATCTTCTGGGAGCTGGCACTGTGATACAGTGTGGTAAGGCATGGCTTGTGACACTGGCATCCTGTATCAAGGGCCGATTAAAGCCCAGGCTGTTTTGTTTCTCATCCAGGACCCTGTTGAGGTTCCTAAAAAAGCTGAAAAAAAAAATGACCCAAGTGCCTTGGCTCTTGGTACCCTTGCTGGGACCAGAATAGAGTCCTGGATTCAGGCTGTCCCGCAGACATTTGGAGAATAAACTATCACATGGAAGATCTTTGTCTCTGACTTTCAAATAAATAATATAAATAAGTAAATAAAAACATTTAGGGGCTGTTCAGTGGCTCATCGAGCTAATCCTCTGCCTGTAAATTCCAGCATCCCATAGGAGTGCCAATTTGTGTCCCGGCTGCTCTACTTTCAAACACGCTCCTTGATTACGCTCTGGAAAAGCAGCAGAGGATGGCTCAAAACCTTGAGATGCTGAGCCTACATAGGAGACCCAGAAGAGGCCCCTGGCTCCTGGCTTTAGGTTGGATCAGCTCAGTTCGGTGCGGCCATTTGGGAAGTAAACCAGCAGACAGAAGACCTCTCTGTTTTTCCATCTCTCTGCAAATCTGCCTTTCCAATAACAATAAATCTTAAAAAGCAAACAAAAGCAAAAAAAAGAAAAACCTATATTTTCTTTGCAAATATGTTACTTCAAAATGTTCAGAGATGATGGGATTAAGTGTTTATTTGGATGTTAAAACTTTGAGATTCAGTTTTTTTTTTAAGATTTTTATTTTTATTTTTTATTGGAAAGGCGGATATACAGAGAGGAGAAACAGAGAGGAAGATCTTCCATCCGATGATTCACTCCCCAAGTGAGTGCAACGGCCTATGTTATGCCGATCCGAAGCCAGAGCCTCCTCCGGGTCCCCCACGCAGGTGCACGGTCCCCAAGCTTTGGGCCATCCTCAACTGCTTTCCCGGACCACAGGCAGGGAGCTGGATGGGAAGCAGGGCTGCTGGGATTAGAACCGGCGCCCATATGGAATCCTGGGCGTGCAAGGTGAGGACCTTAACCACTGCGCCACCACGCCAGGCCCGAGAGTCAGTTTTCTTAACATTTTTCATTTACTGTTGACCCATGATATGTACTCATTTCAAAAATTTCTGCATCCCCCCCCCGAAAAAAACTACCTTTCATTTTCATCTTCTGCAAACTATTGCAAAGTGCCTTCACAGAAAAATCAGCTATCAAATAATCAAGTTCTTGGAACATTATACAGGAAAAAAAAAATCTGGATTTGTAATTGAGTCTGACTTCCTGTGTTTGAATTCAAGCCACATTGTACCAAACTCACCCACACCTGCTGCACACTGTCCCGAAGCATCCCTGGAAAGGTGCAGACTTCACGGCCTGCTCCTGGCTGGGTCTCAGCGCAGCCTGCTGATTTTCCTCCACCTCACCAGACCCTATTCTTGCACCATCTACACTTCCCGTCACCAGGAACAAACCCAGGGAACCTCTATTGGGTGGCCAGCCTTTGCCATTCAGGTGGTCATCTACATACTAATTCCCCTCCTGATGTTATGGGACCAACTGTAGGGGGCTGTGATGCTACTTCTCTACAATGCATTATAATCCAAAATGCATTTCCCTATTTTATTTTGCATCTCTTTGTGTGTGTATATATATGTAAAATCTCAGATATACATCAAACTGCTATTTATGGTATTACCTAGAGTAACACTCAAGTGTTTTTTTTCTCCTTCCATTTGTGCTCACCTACAGTTTCTAGTTTTTTCCTATATTAAACCTAACTTCGATTAAAACGAAAGTGAGTTATATTCCATATGTGTATGTTTTTATTCTGAATTATTTGGAAAAGGAATAAGGCACCTTAAAAAGTAACAACCATAAAAATATTTGTTGAAAGTTAGGGCTACTAGACAGGAAATCAATCCTGGACATTCTGGCATGCTGGTCAGAATGCCACCTGGCATGCCCACCGGATGGTTTGGTGACCATCTGGTTACCAAAGTGCCTGGTTCAAGTTCCATCTCCTCCCCCAGTCATACCCGGGAAGGTGACAGCAAAGGCTCCCACAGCTGGGTCGCTGCCACCCAGCTCCTGCCTTCAGCTGCTGAAGCCATTGGGCAGTAAACTAACAGATGGGCGCTCTCTTCTCCCCTACATCTCTCTCCTTCCTTGTCTGCCTCTCAAATTTGGGGGAATAAAAAGAGCAGGACCCTGGCAGAAGCCAAAGAAAGCCTTTAGCCAGGGCCTAAGCTCCAGTGACCTCTGCGCTAGCAGGGCGGATGGCATCCATGGAACTTGCCAAGTCCACTGGCACCCATAGAACTTTCCTTTCCACCTTCCTCACCTCCACCAGATCTCATTAAGAACTGTTTGGGGAATGATAATTAGCATGTTTTTCAATATTCTCTGAACCCACACCCACACGAGGCCAGGCCCACCAGAAATGTGCTGAGGGAGGAGGTAAATATTAACACAACACCCCCACTCCAGGGAGCAAACGTCTGTCTGCACAGAAGCTGTCCCTAGAGGGCGCTGCTTGAACTTCCCAGGAGGAGTCCTCAGTGGACAACTCGGCGCCAGGCAAGGTACTGGTGAGGGCAACCCACAGCAGGACAAGACCAGATTTCTGGGTCATCTCAAAGACAAAGCAAGCTCAACAGAGAGGCCTCGGCAGCGTTGCACTTACCATAAGCTGTCATGACGCCAGCGTATGGCCCGTCCACCACGTTCCTGTTCTCCTCTGCCAGTGCCTTGATGTACCTTTTGCTGAGATCCAAGATCTGCTCTCGCAGCATGGAGCTGCTCTCAGGCTGTGTCCGCTGCTGGATGGTAAAATGCAGCAGCATCATACCCCAAATGAAGCCAAAAGTCACCAGGAAGAAGCCCAGCTTTTGCGAGGACAGCTTCCACGGACTAAAAAGAGCCATTGCTCCCTGTAGCTTGCGCCTGCCCTCAGCTCCTAGCGCGAAGATAGACCCAGATTCATGGTGCAGGCTGGGCGCACGAGTCCAGCGGGGCTCTCACTCCGGCTCCTGCGTCAGGCGACTTCCCTTCCTCACTTCCATTCTGTCATTAAAATAAAGAGAGAGAAAAGTAAAATGTGTTAGCCTAAGGGTCACGGCCAAACACAGCAAAATAAGCTACCAGTCATGTTTTCACTCCAGCGGCTCTAAATACAAAGTGAACTTCCTTCTTCCCTCATTCGCTGGTTGAGTGTACCTTGTGCCCTCAGAGAGGAAATCTGGCTGAGCAGCAAGACGCTGTACAAATACAGAGGGGAAGTGAGTTGTCTGAGTGTGGTAACAGGTGTAAGTACTGGGCCACCTCCAGTCTGGCCCATATTCAGGCAGGAAGCTCGATCTGTAAGCTGGGGAGCGTGCTCAGGGCTAGCTTGCTGAATGTCAGCAAAAACTCAAGCGGCACAAGGACTGCTATCAGCATCAGAAACACGGGTGTGTGTAAGCAGAACTCACAAAGTCATTCTTCGGCACTGTTGGCAAAGACCGAGAGTCGGCAGCTGCGGAGGTGAGGGAGGCAATGGACAGCTCCTCAGGGGTGGTGGACAGCAAGTAGGCAGCAGGTCCCCATCCTGTGTCAGCACAACCAGCCAGCTTTCCTTATCAGTGCAGAGACAAGGTGACTGTCTTGGGTTCCCCGCTGGCACTAAAAAGACATGGCAGAGAAGCCCTCGGCAATCTCTCTGTACCCACTATAGCTCAGGGCTCACTCCCTCACACCTCGCCGCACAGCAAATCTGCAGCCGCCGGCAGTGTCTGCCCCACGGAACCTCTCACTTTTACTCCCACAAAAAAGTAAAATGTAAAGTTGAAGGGCATCATTTTCAGTACCAACACAACCAGGTCCTAGCTGGTACAATCACAGGCTGGGCCCAAGCCCTCCCTCAGAGCTGGCTCCCACTTTTATCACAGAAAGCCCCAGCATCAGTTGAGCTCTCCAACCCAGCAATCAGAGCCCTGGCCACTTGCTGACCTAAATGCTGCTCAAATGAGAGGCTGAGTAACTGTCTAAGAAGGGACTGACCAGGATGTCTTCCAGGGGCTGCATATGTTTCAAGCCCAGGAATTGTTTTTCTCAAGCCACCCAAGAGAATGTAGCAGCAGGACCTTGGAGCGATTCATTTTCAGACCCTAATATAGTGGCTGTCTGTTCCTCTCACCTCTTCCCAGTAATCGGTACTTGTTAGTTCTAATACTAGCACCAGGAATGAGAAATCACTGATACTGGGAACTGGGACCAACATTTTTCTGGGTCTTAGGTGGTGGGGTCCCCATCATATCCACATGGTAAGAAGAATATTAATAACACAATCTCTTTCATGCAAAACAAATGAGATGAGATGAGCAACTAAAGAAAGAAGGGGATTGACATGCAAAGTATGGCCAGCCCTGTGGCAGAGAGATAATCAAGGAAGTCTAGAAGTCAGTGTCCCACTTCCTGGGCCACCCTTGATGCCCCATATGACCAGGTATGATGCGCACTTGCTTAAATGGGTAGGGAAAGGGACTGATTCATGTAGCAGAGATCCTAGGCAATCCAGGAAGTCCAGACACTGGCTGTCCTTTAACCAAAGGCTTTCCAATGGCTGGATTCTGGGTTTCTAACTGAGCAACCAAAGCAGCGCTCATGACAAATGCAAATTCTCAGGCCCTACCCAACCCCACAGATCAGTAACTCTGGGAATGAGGCCCAGCAACCAGTCCTTAATAAGCCCTCTGGGAGATTCCACTGCACAGTTTAGTCTCAAAGCCCTCAAGCCAGAAAGCTGGATTTGAGGTGTAGATTCTGCCCCAGGCAACACCTAGAGATGAGCCCTGAACTCCGTCTTGCATGGTTTGCTACCTTCTGTCCAATTAGATGCTAAGCACCTGCTGGATCGGTTGCCAACATAAAGCCCCACACAGCCCACTTTAAGGTGATTCTCTCCACTTGCTGGCCCATACTTTCTATATTAGGGTGACAACTCAAACTCCCCCTGTTCTCCATACCTCCACTCCAGTCCCTGCACTGTGGGCCTCTCACCACACCACAACAGATTACAATATGCTCTTCTAGGGCCAAAGTTTTAAAACATATCTACCTTGGACTCTTACGTGTTTCTAAATGGAATTTCATTGTGAACCTTTAAAGGGGAGGCACACACACACACACACACACACACACACACACACACAGGTGCTTCTTGACTCACCATAGGGGTGCACCTCAATAAGACTGTCAAAAATATCCTAAGTCAAAAATATAAAACGTTTGATACAGCCAACTGACTAAATACGGTGGCATTGTCTAGCCCACCTTAAATGTGTTCACAACACCAAAGCTAGCCTACATTTGAGGCTGAAATCACCAAACACAGCTATTTTATAATAAGATGTCAAACATCTCATGCAGTATTTTGAATACTGTTATCTGAATTCAATTCAGCACATTTGTACGAGTTTGTTTCTGCCCCATCTTAAAGCCGAGCCATTTCAAGTCCCCAATTGCCTGTACAGAATTTCTTGGAAAAAGATAATTATCACAAGAACACAAAGTCACAAGGACACTGTGGTACCTTCCACGCTTCCTCCCGTCAACCATTCTGCAAGTGTAGACTGAACTTCTGCTGCCATTATGCCTGAGCACTGAACCGTATTGGTGGTGGGTGGGGAAAGGAGGGAGTAAGAGAGAAGAGATGCTTCTAAAACTCAAGGGACTGAACGCTAGACAGCCACCCCTGTCACTGGGTGCTGCCCCTGCTGCCTCAGGAAGTGGGTGCGCTTCCTTTCTGATAAGCCATTAGTCAGTTTTGCCTCAAGCCTAAAGGGGTTTTTCCCAGACTGAGTGAGTGAGGTACTATATCAAGAAAATTCTCTGGTGATTTTCTTTCACTCTGACGGAAGAGGATTTCCACTGCTGGCAGGAGTTATCTGTCAACTTTCAGAGAAGGAACCACACTCCACCTCCTTCATCGAGAACAGCCCCTGCAGGGCTACAGGGTTTATGAGAGCAAAGGTCAAGAGCCAGGGACAGAACAAGGACTTCCAGTGTTTGCCTTGGAAAGATTCAGAAGGTGGCACATGTTAGGGGCAAAAGAGATGGTGGGAAAACTCCATCCCATAGACATTACTCCAGCTCAGACACAGTCTGGGAGTGGAAATCTCCAGGTCTAAGGAATTCAGAGCACAGCTCTGCTCCACAAAGGCCCAAACTTTTAAGTGACGACAGAACCATCAGAAATGTTCTTTTTCTCCCATGGAATCCAGAGTCTGAAATGACAGGAAATGGCATTAGCATCCATAGCCATTTTAGCATTCATCTCCATGAGATACTCCCATTAACTCCCTCAGCCTTAAGAGACCCTGAGGCAGACACAGGTCATCCATCCTCACGGAGTGCCTTGGTGACTTAATGATGACATCAGGAAAGGCCAAGAAACCAAGAGATGTCTCTGACTAACAGTGAGCAAAAGGGAGTTATTTAGGCTAAGACCCTGCCTACCTCCAGTAGAACCCAAGGGCACAGAAGGGACCTCATAGTGCACAGTGCATCTTAGAATCTCAGAAGTCCTTGTTGGCGAGTCGAGTCCTGACAGCCAACCAGAGCCATAACATCATCAGTCCACCTCCATCGTTAACTATCCCAACAGGTGTGCCCTTCAGCCCTGCATTTCCTAAAACAGCATTCACCATTGTCCTTATTTTCCACTTACTTGACATAGTAAAATCTGTGTTTTACCTTCCCAAGAACAATCAAAGATCTTTGGAGAAGAAATGTGTCAGTTCTATTTTTCTGAAAGCCCATGAAAAGATACTCAACATCATTAGTCATTAAGGGAAATGCAAATCAAAGCCACAGTCAGAGACCACTTTATACCCACTAAGATGGTTAGGATAAAAAAATATACACAGATAAGGACAAATGTTGGTGAGCAGACAGAAAAATCGCAATTCTCATCTACTGCTGATGGAAATGTCAACTGGTACAGCCCGTGTCCAAAACAACCTTGCAAGTACTTACATAATTCACACAACTCTGTTCTCAGGAATTCTCCCAAGGCAAATAATTGGGTACAACCACAGAAAAAAACATATATCCGAATGCTCACAGTCATATCATTTATGAGAAATCAAACTAAAACTATCCAACTGTCCAGCCATGGCAGAAAGGACATACTAAACTTGTAAATGCATGCCATGTCATAGCATTTGGCAAAAAATAATAATTTTAGATGATGCTACCACATGGATGCCCCAGGAGAACGCTGTGCTAAGTGAAAGACCACACAGTGCGTGACTGTATCTACACCCAGTGTGCGCAATAGGCAGATCCGCAGCTGGAAGAAGTACATGGGGCTTGCTCAGCACTGCTCTGGGAGGAAATAGGGGAACTTGGAGTTGACAGCTAAAGCGCAGAGAGTTTCTTTCTAGGGTCACAAGAATGTTCTAAGATTGACTGCAGGGACAGAGCCACAATGCTGTAAAAAATATTGAGCTGCACTAGCTAATCGAGAATGACGCTGAATATGAACTGTATCCTAATAAAACTTTTTCAGCGAGGGAACAAAGCAAGCCCACCCCTGAAGTTGGAGGGAGGAGGAGCAGCTGAGAGCAGGCAGATGAGCTTCCCAAGCTCAGCACAGCCTTGCCCTCTGTCTGCACCCAGCACAATCAATACCAGGTTACACCCAGCACTGGAACTGACTGTGGGCCTAGTCAAAGAATGAATCCATAGCTGTTTGCCTCCAGGTCATCACACACAGCCTTTCTCCTAACTTCCAGACCCACTTCTGTGCAGATGCCTCATGGCTTGCTTTGTCTGGCAGATACCCGTGATCAAACCACATCCCTTGAAAAACAGCCAAGTTGGGTCAGCACAGCAACATCTGCTGGCACCAGCATTCCACATGATTTGTCTCATCTGCTCTACTTCCCATCCAGCTCCCTGCTTATGGCCTGAGAAAGCAGCTGAAAATGGTCCAAGGGCTTGGGTCCTACACCCACGTGGGAGACCTGGAAGAATCTTCTGGTTCCCAGCTTTAGATCATCTCAGCTTTGGCCATTTGGGGA